ATTCAGGTGATTATACACCTATGAATAATATATTCAATTTCTGCCAATAGATCCACTGGACCTTAAAAGCTGATTTGGTGAATGTGTTTATTGACTGTTTACATAAACATACATACATTTCGAGTTAAATTGGCAAAAGGAAATATGTGTTTCCATCCACTACTGTTATGCAAGTATTAGGAGTTGGATGCATCAAGATAAACAATTGGTTCCGCTAATTCTCTATCCGAGTGCCATTTAACAACCTCAACAAGATTACATAATTAAAAGAGCACCAGTCACATCAAAATCCAACTTCATGGAAGCCACATGCTTCATGTACATTTTAGTTAGCACATAGTTGTTGTTTTTTTCGTTTAAGTGCAAATTGAAAATGTGTATTAAAAAAAATCATATTGATTGTACCTATTTCTATGTCATGAAAGTGAGATGCATTACATTCAGCAAGAAAACAAAAAGCAAGTGTGCAGTGGAGAACACTATCAACACATACGGAAAAAGAATACATCATAGCACTAGATCATTGTCTGTTTCAATTGGTTTAATATGTTGTTCAAAATCTGGTTATATGGTTTGCTTTAGTGCTATAATAATTTGTATGCCTAAAGTCTGCAAATATTGCTGTTCTTGTCCGTTAATCTACATCTCATGTCTGCTAATGAGTGAAAACCAATTAACACAGGTTTTGAATTGGTTGAAATTAATAGCCTCATTGAAATATTCAGATATCATTATTCATTCATAGATAACTCCATTAATGAGAACCACTAGAGCTGCGGTTCCTGTGCAATAAAATCCCAGTCTTGACTGTTTCTGCCAGTAAGTATCTTTCTTTATCTCATAACTCACAATCACCCCCAAGAGACCAAAGGCCAAGTAGTTACTTGACATGTCACTGCCTCTGCAGCTTGACAAATGTGCCATGATAGTCTCAGCAGGGACGTGGAAGGGCAGGAGGTTGAGATGGACCTCATATCAAGTTCATTTTGAAATGTGATAGACAGTGAACCCGGCATGGACTATTGAGACCCTGTGTGTTAAAAGGCAATAAGATCCATTTTATTGAAGTAGTGCTCCAAAATGTTTCTACAGAGCTTGTCTCTTTACTCTCACTACAAAGCAGAGGTGACTCACTGGGTTTAAAGGTTGTAATCTCTCCTGAAAATCAAACAGTGTAACAGTATGGCATTTTCATCGGATGTCACATTGCAGGAATCATACTCTACTAATAAAAAAGCCATTTCTTTCAACAGTTGATTGACATACCAACCGACTCCATTTGTGGGCTGTTGAAAAGCAGACTTCCTTTGAGAGGAGGCGAAGGGCGAGGAAGAGGTAGAGGAGGAAGAGGAGGGTCCGTATATCTTAAGCAAGGATAAGCACAGATTTATCTGATGTCTTCTTAAAATAAAAGAAGTAACATCATCAAAACTGCCTTTATCCATGCCTTTATAGACCAGCCCTCCTCTCCACTGAGACGGACAGAGTCGAAGACCACGCACACCATAGAGGTTAGGACATTCATTTCAGTAAAGTGGACGACACATAGAAAAAGCTTCAGTGAAACAGTTCAAAACATACAATTCAAAGGGCAGGAATTAGAACAGAGTGAAATGGGATCAGTTGGGTTTTAAGGCACAACACAATGAAAAAAACTAAAAATGTGGGCCAGCTGCAACAAACATCAAGAGGTACAGAACATTCTTATTTACATACAGTGTGTCCTAGTTTGGTTAGTTTTTTTCATTAATTAGGCCCACACTCTACTCACAGAATGGACTTTTTAGCTGAAAACAAAAACTGCACTGCAACTGAATTCTCCTCTTTACAATGTTTCCTTGTAAGCGGGCCCACATCACCACACCATTGATTTGAACAGAACCAGATAGGGGTGTAACGGTACATATTTGCCCAGAATTGTTGATCAGTTCAGTTTATTGTTGAATTAGCTTAATACTGTCTAATCTGGTCTACCTTTAGTATGTGGGGGATATAAATTCCACAGAGAGAGCTTTGGCTGTCACCTAGACATGTGGTTCCCTTGTTTTTTTGTAAGATGTACCCCCACAGTCCTGTCTGATGAACCAAGTACCCCTTCACCAACACTACCATTTATGTTCTAAATGTGTTCATTTGAATTCGATTCAAACTGGATGTTTTTTAACAATATAATAGTGGATGTTACAATAGTTTCATACGACCAAACTATTAATGTTTAGTTTGCATTCGTACTACAACCACTTGGAGTTGAAAAAGCTGGACGTTCCAACAATTCATCCATTATTTTAGTGATTTATTTCAACAGTTTATTCATTACTTTTAGCTAATTATTTCAATTATTTATCTATTACTTTAAACTATTTAATCTTCTCTACCTGCTTGCTAACTCGTTTTCACACACTATTAATTGCAATAATATTTTGTTTACAAATTAGTTGAGCTACTCTTCAATTTCTCCATGTACCCCGTGTACAAGAACCAGAAACAATTACACATGCTAGCTAAAACCTTTTGCAACAGAAATTGAAGAAGTCTGGGGATGTCTCTGGAAACAGAAACAATTATGCCAGCTTAAACTACTTGCAAAACATTTGCCTTCTGCAGGGCTAGAGGCCTGCTGTAATATCCATCAACATGTGCATTTTAGTCAGTCGGTTGTGCCTGCCCTATAAACAAGCACAGGCTGAACATTTAATAGACCTTCAGGACCACACAGAGGTACCTAACTGTGTAACAACTACAGGGATTTATGTATTGTAACAGTTTGTGAAAGACAATAGTTTATCGATCCACTAATAGCACTTGTCTGGCGACCTCAATGTCACTGCTGCAAGGCGTTGTCGCTGTCGTAACTCGCTGAAAAAAACGCGGGCATTTTTAAATGAGCTAACCTACAATGTGTAAGTGAGCTTTAGAGGTACTGGTAGAAATATTTGTTTTTACTTTGGACTAATTGCAGCTCTATATTAATATTCTCATCTAACTAAAAAACCTGCTGCACTTGTCTCAATGGACAAACCATTACATTTTGTGTACCGTTCCACCTCTAGAGGCAGCGCACACAGACCAGACTGCACACACGTACTCATCACACAGACAGGAGAGCTAAAGGTCAAGGGGAAAATACACAGGTTAGGCATATAGATAGAGAGAGGTCAACGGGAAGGCACTGCACTACAGTTAACACTCCAGGTATAAGCTGCCTCCAAACACTGATCAGGATCCAGATGTTACTTCAGATTACCACTATTAATGATTAACAGGTTGATAAGGGAAATACAGAAATCACAAAGAAGTGTTTAGAGGCAACTTTGACCCTTTAAGAAAGAACAGCCATCCCTACCATGGTGACTCTGGGAGCGGACCGGCCAATGTTTTTCTCCTAGAAAACAGAACCAAGTGGTTATTTATTAGATTGTGCTACTTGTGTGGTGATATAACAGAAAAACACATTCACATTGAACAACCGGCAGTTATTGTTGTATTTGCCCTGAAAAGCATGAATAGGGTTAAATTCACTCAAATATGAGACAATAAAGCAGAACAGTAGGTCCATCTTATGAATTACATCTCTTTTATGAGTCAAATGTTGCCCACATGTTACCGCAACAGATATGTGGACACACGTAATGCATGAGGGCTGCTGGAAATGAGAACAATTTTTGTGCTAGGATATCGATTGTCTTACATTTTATCTTCCCATCAACTACAGGCTGATGCCACCTGACACCACGACACAAAGCATCAAGTCACCTCTCTCTCTGTCTTGAGCACACACACATTCAGATACACCCACCCACACACACACACACACACGTAAAATGCTACCAAGTGAGGGGTAAGACAGAGAAGAGTTGGAGTTTCAAGATGAAACGAGAGAATTAGGGTAGGAGGAGAGGGGAAGAGGATAATGAGAAGAAGGAGGTGTAAAAAGTCGCCGTTGTTCCCCGCACAACGACACCGCAGGGCTCTAGCCATGCGGCACTTTGATCCATCACTATCGATTTACCATCAGCTTCTCATCGCAGTGGCCTCCCACACAGCAACACACAGCTACAGGGATGCATGAACGATATGCACACCAGTTTTGACCTTAAACCCAGTGACCAAATGAACCTTTATGGTTTGGAGTACAGTAAGAGTAGGGGGTGCTGCTGTAGCTACACTGATGAGCACAGATTTTTCCACATCAGTACTGCTAACAATGAGAGGTTTACATGAAATCCCCTGTGAGAGAAATATGCAAACATCACATCTCTGTACTAAAATGCTCAAGTACACCAGCAGAGTGAGGGCTCACTCACTGAAGATTAACACTGCACTGCTATATTCATTCCGCTGTAGTGCACATTGTTGCCTTTTTAAAAAACCCTTCTCATCAAAACAAGACAACACTTTAAGAACCTGAAAATGGAGTCTTGAATATATGTGTTTATTGTACATTAAAGTGAGACTATATAACGTTTTTAAAGAAAAAAATAGTGCATAAATTAAAAACAAAACTGTGAGCAACCAGAGAACAGAACATAATGTACAGTTGCCTGTAGTTGACATAAATAATTAGGTTGCACCTTCTCATTAGTGAATAATAAAGTAGCTAATTAGAGCAAACATCCATCAGAATTGTCTGCCTTAGAGGTGATGTATTGCAGTGCAAAATAGTGGAATTGGATGTGATGTTTTTTGGGGGGGAAAAAAATCAATGATTGAGTCACTTTATTTTAATTTCTTGTTGATCATTTTGTCATAGACTTTGAGCACACAAAGCCCTCAAATGAAATTCCAATTTTTTACTCTAATATCAGCAGCGCTGAGCTTCCGTACTGGTATTGATCAGCAGCTCTTGATCCCCCTTAGATTTATTATGGTCATTTTAACCTCACGATGCACTGAAAGTCTGCACTCGTTGCACCTTAGAGGAACAGGAAAGACCATTGACGTTAACCTCTTACTGTGCTACGTTAAGCACGGCTACTGGAGATTCCTACAAGATGACCTTGAGCGTTTTTCTAGTCAATAACTTATCGATGGCTTAATAAATCCATCAGACATGTAATGTAAGGCTGACGTATTGATGTGTGGAGTGTTTCCCCCAGAGGACACACTCTGTCATCTCTTGCATCCTTTGTTTAGTCCATATGTAATGCCTTATGCCTGGTGAAGAGGCATAATGAGGATGATGCAGATGCAGTCCCGTAGTGTGGGACATGGTGGACCCAGTGAACTATTATACAGGTTTAAAGCTTGGGAGAAGCTATAGCTGCTGTACACCTTCAGCTTTAGTGGTTGCAGAATGTATTTCCTTTGCTTTGGCAGAGGTGATGCAGGTAATTAATCCGTTTGTGACCCTGCTACATGAGCTGCAACACACCAAACATTCGCGGTCTTTCACACATCTGTTTACTGAGTGTTCCTGCAAGGTTATTTAGAACCAAAATGTGACAAGAAGCCTTGATACCCGAGCATTAGTTACTGTTCTCCTGACTCAACATTATGCAGTATATTTATGATGTGTGCAGTGTTTTAGTCAACAGAAACTTGTAAGGTTTAAGAGTGCTACAGGAAGATTCAGCTTTTCACTTCAGCGCTGCACATACAAACAATCGTCTCATTCCACAGCATCGCCATGTAGAGCAGTCAGTTATTTTGACGCACAATTTCCTTGCAATGCAGGGAGAGGAGATAATCAAACGGTTTAAAACTGACTGTCAGTGGAGGGATGAAATGTGTAAAAATGAGACTTTTAAAGCAGGGCTACAAATGGCATAAGTGTAGTTGGCAGCTCAGCAGTAAACGGAATTGGTTATGCTCCTTAATTGGAGTAGGACTGCATTCTTACAGTCAACTGCTACACCTACATACAGTCAGCAGGAGTGATGTTGGCTGTTGCAGCCAGAAATTTCAGACTTTCTGGTTCAGCACCACGAAGGGGAAAGACAACTGCGAGTGGAAAGCTGCAGAGGAGTCAGTGCACAGAGGAGACCTCCCTCCCAGGGCAAATCTACTTGCCAGCATGCCCACCATCAGCACTTAACAATGTTTGCTCAGTTTTTCAGCCCAAGGTAACTCGTTCTACAAGGGCTGCGCTGCATTTCCAGCCACCCTTACCCCGGCTGGCCTTGACATATCTGCAGGGCTATCTCCTGAAATCAATGATGTGGACTTTGTCCGCCAAAATGTCAGCCACAGACGTGTCATGTGTTCACAATATACACAGAGCCAAGGTCTTCAGGAAGCAAATTCCGCCAGGAGAACTGAAGGCAACACTTCACTCTTTTATAGGACACTATGTAGCCAACAGCTTGTATTTGGTTCCTGTCTGATCTTTGTTGTGAAGTATATAGAAAAATATATTTATCTGTGAATTTCATTGATAGTAATGGGTACTTCAGTTAAGGCTACATGAGCAGAATAGTGACTGTATGGGCTGTATGGGTATACTGTGATGTATGCCACAATAAAGCTAAATGTTTTTTTATGACTGTAAAACTTCACATACTCTTGCATTTCATATTAACACATAATATCGCATATGTAATATCTCATAAACCATGTTTGCTAATGGTGCCAATGCATTCAGCTCATGAGCCTGGAAGCTGAAACCGCATTCAAACAAACTGATCATTAATTCATCGCTGCTAATGTATCATTGTAATGTGCTAACTCGAAGCTTTCAGTTTAGCATGCAGAGCTGCTGTTAGCATACTTCACTGTTTTACTGCCTTACATCTATGTGAGAAGGAGGAAACCTAAGCCGTTTATAGAAATGATGGCCAAAACTAACACCAAGCCAAATATAACATTAGCTTCAGCAGCCTGAGTTAGCCAAATTGATGCCTGGTAGTCTCATGTAGGCTAACGCTTTGTCCTAGCACCAGAGACTACCAAGAAGTGTCCCCCCTGCTGTGGCTTAGCATGGCAATTCTGTTAGTATTGCCTTAAGTGTTACTTAAGAAAGAACTTAAGTAACACTGGAAAATATCCACAAAATGTTGCTAACTCAGGCTGCTGAAGCTATGTATTAGCTTCTGCTACACCTGGCAAAAGTACAGTGGATTTTGTCACCCATTTCTCACAGTGTAGTCACTAAACAGACACTTCATGGCCAGTATGGAAAGATACGTGTAGATATGTGATTATAGTCCCCATGAAACAGAAAGCAGAGTGCTATCTGTGTCTGCATATTTACGTGATCTCTGTAAAAAGAGTTCAAAGTTTTGATTTCCAAAATGTGCATTTCTTTCTCATCTTTCACCCCAGTTGTTGATTTCTTTCAATCAACACCTCACTGAGCGAAGACACGCTCGGTTTCTTGCTTCGCTAATCATGGTGCATTAGCATATTAACAAATCAATTGGCACAAACGAGTGCCTCTCTCTGTACCTGTGGCAAAACACTGTGTGCAATATTATGTAGCGTACTGAATGTGTGATTTCTTTCACACCCCCCACCCCTCACCCAACACACACACACACACCACTGCTCCCCTGCTGGGTGTGTTGGATTGCTATCAGTCCCTGAGAAAGCTGCTTACATAACCACGCTGCCAGCACCAGCCCACGTCAGCCTCCATATTAGATGATAGCGTCTTAAATGGCTTTTTGACAATGTTGCATCTCACTTGCAGTTTACAAAGACAAGCCCACTTATGAGTATGAGTGTGTGCGTGAGAGAGCGAGTGGCCACGTGACTAGTGTTTTGCCTCTAAGTGATGTAAAATGAGACGGTGTAATGAAAAGGAATAAAAGGGGATGTTGTGGTTGGGATTGCTTTACAGAGAAAGACTGGAGCTGTTCAGCCAACTTTAGAAGCAAAAAATTGTTCTGATTAATTTGTGTAGCAGCTCATGCAATTGTTTAAGACATATTCTCGGGGCTTGGAAATAATGATGTTAAATATTTATGCTTAACTGGTTCAGGGGTTGGGATTGTAAAGCATGAAAGCCGATCGTGACGATTAACAAAAGCACAAAGTTGCCGGAGTTTACCGGTCTTCTTGCAGGGGAGAAAAAAAGCTTTCTTCATTAACTCTCCATCTCGTACAGCAATCCCCCAAGCTCAGATAGAGCAGGGCGAGCAAGCAAGGGAAAGATTAAGAGAGGAAGAGTGAGAGTGAGAGCAAAGATTCGATAAAGAAGGGGAGAGTCTTATTTCAGTGCTTCACACACTGCTGGATGATCAAAGTAGAAAATGCTGTTTTAATTCCAAGAATCATATCTCATCTCCTGTCCACAAGCTCATTATAGAGAATTATGCTGCAGGACAGAGGGGGAGAGAAGAAGAGGAGAAGGAGAGACAGACAAGACACACAGAAAAAGCCCCCAAAATCCAGCTAGTCTACTCCACTGTGCTTAATACTCATCATTTGCTAAGCACAGATGTA